TTTTTTTAATCGAATATATTTTATGTCTCCCTGGTACAAATGCTCCAGTAGAAAGAGTATTTTTTTATTTTGAATAAATTGTGGACGTCTGAAAGAAACACGGTTCCAGTTCTAAAGGCGATGTTGTTAACAAAGGTAACAATAAAAAAACTTAAGCAGAATTTTATTCTTATTTAAAATTATCACCAACTTTATTAAAGCAAATTTAATCCACTGACAAATGATAAATGTATTACCGTCTATACCGAATATAATTTTATATTGAACACTAATTGTGTAAAGTTATAGTTTTTAGAGTATAAATAAACCCATGTCCTGTTTTGAGTTAAAAAATAAATGGTCACTTTAGTTTTTTTTAGTTAAATTTAGTTTTAAAAAATTTTAGTTTATAGTAAAAAGTAGGTATATTAATACCTACTTAGATACTTTTTACCGAATTAGGGTGGAAGCCCCTAATACCAGTCATGCCCCTAATTCCAGTCTTTTCGCCTTTTTACTCCATAAATGAGATTTCTAGTAGTCTTAACTACAAATATTTTCATCTAAAAAATTCTTTGGAAACTATATTTATTCAAATATTACCTCGCAGTTTTAAACCTAACAGTGTTAAAATCAAAACAGGTACGCAACGAAAAACGATCATTTTCCTAATTATTTGACAAGTTATGATCCCGGTAAAATTATGCTTACTTTACATTATTTCATATATAGGCTTTTTGATTTGTATGAATATGACTATAGACATAGTAATGCAGTTATTTTTGTTTGAATTTACAACTTATTTATTTTCTTTTAGTGGAAATTAATGGGGCTGTAATTAGATAATATAAGAAATGTATAGAGTGCATAATGTCAGCCGCCCGGCTGTTATTCGGTTTGACGTACCTAATAAAAAGTACCTAAATTCAGCCACGTAATATAAATCAGGGCTGCCATAAACTGGAATAAATACCATTAATTAGATCATAACTTATTTTATAGCTAAGGGAGTTATGATCAATTCGTCTGTTTTAAAATTGGTTTTAGATTTTAAAGTTTAGCAAAAGATGTACTAGCTTTTCTCTCTGACATTCGGCGTATAGAACACCTTTATGTACTCAATTATTTTTTGAAAAAGAAGAAAAAACAAGCAATAAATAAAAACAAAAACGGGCCAAAAACTTATAACTGACATTTGGCCAGACCCGGGATTCGAACCCGAGACCTCATGATCAGCAGTCGCACTACTACAACCACTAGACCAACGAGGCGGTACTATACCTAATAAGATATTGTGGTTATGTGATAATATTGAATTAGCCTTTTAGTGTAAATTATAATATTTGTCGAAATTTTAATTATGGATTGGACCTTACATGCTAATGGTGCTTCATTTTTTTATTTGCATTTACTTCAAAGAAAATACACGCAAAAAGCTTCATCGCGCAGTAAAAAACACAACAAATATATGTATAACTAATACGAAAAATTATACCCAAAACAAACAAATAATACTACCTATAAATAACCTAATAAGTAATATTATTATCGACTCATATGACGTGAGTGTATGTGCTTGGTCGACGCTCTAACGACACGGGCTTCACGTCGAAGAGCTCAGGGCTCACCACAGAATACTTTACTCCTAGCGGAGAGGGCTCACTGACCTCTGGTATATAGTGTATTATCTATGTCACTGACTTCAGCAAGCCCGTGAGCAGTAATATGCCCAGATTTTAAAATAAATTCTTAATAAAATCAAATTTTGGTCTTTTGAAAAAAAATTTACTATAGAAATGTTCATTAATAAATTGCCTATCCATTGGTGTAAATCGCAAAATAAAATAATACTTACTTTACGAGGAGATGCATGTTATCCATAATAATTTCACATTTATGTGGTTTCGTTGTAAGGAGATTATATTAATATTTATTTCTTTAAAAAAAAATTGGATATAGCTTTTATGGAATCAAGATTATGTAGAAATATAATGTGTTTTTTATTTGTTGATATATCTTTTAAATAAAAAGTAGATAGCTCCTAAAAACAGCACAAATAACGACTAGCGCGACATTTTGCTCAACCTGCGCCTAAAGATGAATAACGTTCAAAAGGCAGCTGCTATAGGTACCTAATTGTGTGAACAGTACGACGTCAATGCGTTAACTAAATAAATACTTATGTAGAAAGCTACATATTTAATATTTATATATATATATAAAAAATATTCATAACTGTTGTAAGCCGAGTAGTGTAGTGAGACGCTTCGTGTAACTTCGGGGTACTTCGCGAAGTTCTTTGACTCTGGCGCAAAAAACCGACAGCGATCGCAAGTCGCTCGAGGCGAAGCAAGGTTGCACGAAGCGAATCAAAGTACCTCTCTACACTATTCACCTCGTCCAACTTCGATCTACTTCGCGAGTAGTGTAGAGGAGGCATAAGATCCTGTTGGGTTGTTGTTCACGTTCCTTTTTCTGCCGAATTCCAAAAAGAAGCCGGTACTCAATTCGACTGTATGTTTATTTTTATGTGTGTTACCTCATAACTTTTTACTGGGTGAACCGATGTACAGCCGACTTCAATATAAGTTATTAAGAATTAATTAAAAACTATTGGTCTGACCTTGATCAAATTTATATGAGACCACACGAGAACTATCAGCTTTCAAAAAAAAAAAAAAGAAATATCGAAATCGGTTCACCCAGTAAAAAATTATGAGGTAACACATAAAAAAAACATACTGTCGAATTGAGTACCATCTCCTTTTTGGAAGTCGGCAGAAATTTTTTAATTTTAAATTATTGACAGTAGGTTAAGTAGCGGCTGGTGTGATACTTGGGCCACCCTAAAGCCGCGTAAATTATAATGATATAAAATATAACATTGAAAGAATTGATCTTTTTAATGTAACAAATTCAAAAAGTGTGAGTTAATAATTAAAAATTAAAAATTTTGTACAGCCTACTTCAATATAAGTTATTAAGAATAACTCAAAAACTATTGGTGTGACCTTGATAAAATTCATATGAGACCACACGAGAAGTATCAGCTTTCAAATAAAAAAAGAATCATCGAAATCTGTTCACTCAGTAAAAAGTTATGAGGTAACACACATTAAAAAAAAGCATACAGTCGAATTGAGTACCGTCTCCTTTTTAGAAGTCGGCAGAAAATAGGGTAGACTGACATTCCTGGTCAACGTATAAATATAATTATTTGTCTAAATTAGTCTAGTAAGATAGTTATATTACTATGTCGTGGTCGTATCATAGTCATATTCCGGTATATAACTATATCCCTGGGGATATGACTATATCACAGGCTTTAACTATGTTACTGCGACATGTATACATATGCCTCCCACGTAGTTTTCCTCATAGTGGAGATATTTATTATGGTTGCAACGCTGAAATGACTTTCATTAAGTGTCTTGTAATCTATATTGAATAATAATTAAAAAATAAAAAATTTGTACAATTGACTTCAATATAAATTATTAAGAATAACTCAAAAACTATTGGTCAGACCTTGATCAAATTTATACGGGACCACATGAGAAGTACCAGCTTTCAAATAAAAAAATCATCGAAATCAGTTCACTGAGAAAATTTTATGAGGTAACACACAAAAAAAAATACAGTCCAATTGAGTACCTGTAAGTGCGTATGGGGGCTGATTAATTAATAGTCCGTTTTCTCACACTTATATTTTTTATTGCGCTAGGCACACAGAAATAAAGTTCAATAACAACACTATACAGAAGGTACAAATGAGTAGACAGGAATACAATAATATATAGGAGGGAGAATCTAATTATACGAACTGCGTAAGCTTGGGTCTTAGGCAGGCAACGGGTATGGGATACGAATGACGTGCAACGCGGAAGCGGACGAACTCTGGCGATCTGCTATCCCAAAGGCGTGGGCTCAGCGACCGAACCAGTTTTACATTCGTTCGTTATGCAGATACATAAAAATGCATGGCGCGTGTCTGCTTGTACATGATTTAATTTATTAATAGGTAATATCTTACAAAATTTACGCATATTTATTAACAATTGAAAAACCTTAATAAATAATAGAACATAGATTAATAATACTTAAAATTTATTTATAAAATATTAATATTTAAAACTTTCAACAAATAAAGTGTAAAACTCGCCACATACCTCCTCCTTTTTGAAGTCGGTTGAAAAATGGGCGTCATTCATAATGAATAAAATAGTATAAGTAAATGTAAAACTTAATTATAATATTAAAATACTCACGAGCATTATAAACGCCATTGTTAACCACCTTAAATACATTGAGACTCTTTTTACAAAAACTTGCCTGGAACAGATCATAAATAGTGTATTATCTATGCCGATCACTTTCAAATAAGAAAAGCACAGACCAGATAGAGAAACTAACGTTTCAGACCGCCATGTCACGTATATTGTCTTTGAATCGTATGCAAGAATTGAATATGACTTTTTTTGTACTTGTAAATGCTAGTAGCATTAGGTAATGGAACAAGAACCATACAGCCAAATAATATTACAGCAGCGTAGAGAAGTATTACAAATTAATTTAATATTTTAAAATGCATTGCAGGTATAATAAATAAAACAGCGTTTGTCTACATAATTATTTATTTAAGTTTTTATTTTTCAATTTTCTCTTGTACTTATTTAGAGCTTTTTTTTGCATTGGCAGTAAATTAAATTTTTCGGCCCTCATTACATCAGTCCCTTTTAATAATTTATTGATTACAGTGCACCAATTAAAAATGCAGAGTTTAATAGATATTTTCAAAAAATTTTCAAGAACTATATCTTTGTGCAACTCGCAATCGAGAAACGAAAATGAATATTTGGAACTTATTTCCTTTTTTATTCTTTCACTAATGTTATTTTGATATCCATGTTGTTCCAAATATTCATTTGTTGTTTTTATTACATTTCCAAAACTTCTTACAACATTTTCGGATGGATATATTAATTTTCTAGTTTTTTTTTTGTTTTATATTCTTTTTGTTTAATAAAATCATGAATATTGCTATCTTCCGACAGTAAACTATGTTTGCATTCTTTGCAATTGATTTTACATAAAATTTTTCTGGTTACCCATCCAGCCGTATATGTCCTTGAGTGTATATTAATCCTTTCTCGTCTTGCCTGTTCTTCAAAAATTTCTACAACAAATTCTACAGTTTTACACACAGGTGTGGCATCTGATTTAGAATCAGATGATGGTGCAATATTTACATTCTCAAAAAGGGACTGTATATCTAATACGCCTTGGCTGACATCTTCCTCGCAATTGTAACTCTCCGAATGAAAGTTTATAAATCTTGTTACCAATAATGATTTGAATGTATTTATGAAAGTATAAGCAGTTGGGTCATTACTCCGGTAATTGTATGCTCGTACTTGGCCAAAAAAGTTCTCTATTATGTCAGAATTGAAGTATCTAGGTCTCATAATTTTAATGTTTTTCGACGCCAATAACTCCCACACCCTTTTTAAATTTTTGAGAGTGATGATCCAATTTTTTAAGGAAGGTACACTTTTTAGTGTGCCATCTTTGCAAATAAATTTTATACCTTGCAATATTTTAATGGCTTTGTTCCAAAACTCGTGATGGGCTGATTTAAGTGTTACTACCTTGCGCAGATTTTTTCCTTTCGACATTTTCTCATTTGTGCTCGCTCCATTGACACTATCAAACAAGTCGTCAAAAAACGATACCGCTGCTGCTGTGTTTTTCAATGTTTTACTTATAGGACTTCCATCTGGATATAGAGCTAAAATTAGAAAAAAATACCGATTTAACACACATTATAAATTATACAACATAAACTGAAATATAGGTAGGTAAGCACTTACGAAAAGCAGAATTATATGATAGTGCTGCCGATACTGACTTGCTCAAAACGCGCACACAATTCTTCACCTAAAATACAAAATTAAGCATGTTGTTATAATAATAAAATAACTCTTAAATGTTATGAGACGTTAAAAATAAGATAGGTAGATCTCTATTTAAAGTCTAAAATAAATATATAATTTCAGGACATTTACCTTCATTTTTTTAATTTTGTCTGGAATTACATGTTGATCCGTCAATTTATGTAATATTCTTGATTCACCGTACTTGCAATCAGCATTGTAAACGTCTACAATATCATTCCATGTCACTCTCTTTCCCTCGAACATCATATCTTTTGTCAGTAAATTGTTTCAAATCCCTTTCAGTAAATGAGGTGGATCGAAAATCACACTTAATGAATTTCCATTTAAATGAATGGTGTCATCTGAAAAAAAAAACAACAGTCAAGATTGAGCAAGTCGAACTCACGTCCAAAATCAATTTCCTGCACTTAGAAGTATTTAGTACAACTTCATCCTATTACTTAATAGATTGCCAGGTCTTTAACTTACCAACTGTCTCTCCAGCACGAAGTTGTTCTCTTTTAGTATCATCTAATAAACTGTTTACAGCAGATTGGAAACTTGATCCTTGATCAGATACAAGGGCAATTGGTTTAAGCCCTATGTCTGTCAGTGCAGATATGATATTTTTAATTATCTTTTTTAATTGCAGGCTTGATGTTGCACCTTCACAAAAGTAAAAGGCGACTAGTTGCTGCCATTTAAAAACAGCACCTCGTAGCATGAATACGAGGGCATGATCTGCAAATTCATTGATTTTACCATTTAAATCGACAAAACCTACAATGTTGTCTTTGTGAGCAGCATAAGTTAGTGCAGTTTCAATGGCCATCTCATCAAATATGACACTACATATTTTTTTTCTGTCATCCCACTTTGCAATCTGAAACATACAATATTTTTACTAGTTATCATAATTATCTTCGTACTTATAAAGTAAATAATAATATATAAAGGACAAAGTCCAAAATATATAAATCAAAAATTTAAGAATAAAAGTTTATCAATACGATCAATCTGTATGACAAAGGAGACAATAATTTTTGGGACCACGAGCAATTTTAAGCAATCACACACACAAAAAAAAGATAACAATTTATTATTAAATATAGTCTAAAGATTTTTTGAAAACTTAAACGGAATCAAGAAATGTGAAAAAAAAATGAGTTGTTTTGATATTCGTGTTCAGATAATTGATTCTGGTAATGTAATATTTAAAAAATAATTGTCTTAGAGATGTGCCAACTCAGAAAAAAATCAACTCGAGTTGAAATTCACGTAACTCGATTTTGAACTCGTGTTAACGCAATTCAAATTAGCTGAACAAAGCTGTGTCAATTTGTCACAAATTATTTTTATAATTGTTCTTCCATACAACACAATTATTATTACTAAACTTAATAGGTAGTTATATATTTTTGGTTTGCGTATCGACAATCTTCATAAAATAATATCACTCTAACGTTATGACGTAAGTCTTAATGTTATTAATAATTTGACTATCACAAATGATATTATATATAACATAAATTGATATTAGATAATAAACATAATTTATATAACATTCAGTTTGTTTTAGGTTATTGTTAGATTCATATTGACGGCTCCGTGGCTTAGCAATGAGATGCTGCGATGGGGGGCGCGGGTTCGAATCCCGCACGGAACAAGTATTTGTATGGCCTACAAATAATTGTTCTGGGTCTGGATGTTTGTCCTTGTGCAATTTGTGTTTGTAAACTGCCTCTACGATACAGGAGAAAATCTTAGTGTGGTAACGTTTAAAAAAAATTAATTGTTAATTTCTCAGGACTCCGCTTAGATGCAGTAAAACTAATAATACTATTATAATCTATAGATTATAAGGAATAAATCGACATGCATTTCATTAAGAATCCTTAACATTTGTGGTGGGCCCATTCTCCATATAAAAATAAATTGTCACCTTTCATCAAAATCCGTTCAGTAGTTTTTGCGTAAAAGAGTAACAAAGATAGTTACTTACAAACTTTAGCATTTATAATATTAGTAGGGAGCGGAAGGGAGTGTCAGACTTTTACTGACTAAAAACCATCCGTGTTCCTTCAGTGCCCTTACGTTCCGGAGCCGCGGTATCTCTTTCGAACAGCCCGCAGCCCCGGCAGGCGTCGGCCCTTGCGGGCCCCTTCACGCTGCTGACAGCTCTTTGAGGCGCGCGTGGAACAAAACGCGCCGTCGACACGGCCTGTCGTCGTTAGACGGACGGACGGCGAGCTACCCATTGCTCGCCGTCCACAGGCCCGCGCCTACGGTGGTCGGGGGCCACGACGTAGCCCCCGACGCCCGGGGCGTCTCCCGCGGCGGCCGGGAAGGAAAGCTGTTGCTCTTTCCTTCTCCCGCTCCGCCACCTCCTTCGCTAGCATCACTGCTTCGCAGAAGGTGGTGACGGCATCCCATTCCGTCTCGCTCCGGACCATGGCTTCGACCAGAGCCGGACGCGAGAGGTCGCCGCCGCCTATCGCCGCTACGAGGACACGGCGGTGCTCCGCCCAAGCAGAGCACACCTCCACGGTGTGCTCCACCGTGTCCTCCGGTCGATCCTCGCAGTGGGAGCACCCGGGCGTTTCCTCCGCCGTTTCGCCCGATTCGGTGCAGGAACCTCCCGAACACACCGTGTCCGGTGAGGACCTGCGTCAGGCGGAAGGTGAGGACGCCGTGGCATCTCTCAAGCCACTCCTCAAAGAGGGGTCTTATCGCCGCTATAGTGGCGTGCCCAGCACGGGGTTGCGACAGTCGCTCTCTCCATGTCGCCATGAGATCATGCCGGAAGTCTGTCCGCTGCGCGACAACTTGCCGCGGCAGCGGGGTTTCCCCCCGGCATAGTGCTGCCGCGCGCCATTCGTGCAGGCGCGCGAGGACTATCGCCTCCAGATCCCATGGCGGCAATCCGGCAAGGAGGCTCGCCGCCTCGCGGGAGATCGTGCGGTAGCCGCGAACCATCTTTACGGCAACCACCCTTTGGGGCGCGTTTAGGTGGTGGACGGCAAGCCGCGCCAAACCACGCGCCCACACCGGGGCCCCGTAAAGGGCCATGGACCTCACGATCCCCGCGTAGAGCCTCCGGCAGGAGGCGTTTGGCCCCCCAGGTTCGGCAGGAGCCGCCTGAAGGCAGCCCCGGTCCGTTCCAGTTTGGGAGCCAAACGTCGGAAGTGCTCAACGAAGTTCCATCGGCCGTCGAGGACGAGTCCTAGGTACTTCAACGTCGACTCGACGCCGATGGATACCCCTCCTACCATCACTGAGGATCCCGGTGGTGGCCTGTTCCGAGGACCATGGAAGTGCATGGCCTCGGACTTGTGCAGAGCCACCTCGAGACCCAGTTGCCGGATCCTCTCAACGACTATCGCAACCCCGCGTGTCATAGTTTCCGCCGCCGCCTCGTACGACCCCCCTTGTGCCAGTACCAGCGTGTCGTCAGCGTAGCAAACTACGCTGACGCCGGTAGGGAGGTCGGCGCGCAGCACCCAGTCGTAACCGATGTTCCACAGGGGCGGCCCCAGAACCGAACCCTGTGGGACACCGCACGACATCTCTCGCCGGTTCCACTCTCCGTTTCGACCGGGGTAGATGACGGCCCTGTCCGTCAGATAGTCCCCGACTATACGACGGAGATAGGTCGGCACCCGGTGATACCGGAGTGCCTCCCTAATGCAGCTCCAGGGCATGGAGTTGAAGGCGTTGGCGATGTCGAGAGACACCGCCAAGACAACCCCCCCCCTGGCCACTGCATCCCCCGTCGTGAGGGAATCGAACGTCCTGTCGTAAACTATTGCACTCTGAAACACAACACTTTCGAAACATTTTCCGAAATTTCGGTACGACTTTCCATTGACGTCAGTGGAGTTTGGTGTTGATACGTATTTTTACAGAAAGATTACACTATTATAAGCACACACACAAAGTCTCAATATACGGAAACGCGTAATTTTTGAGAAAAAAGTTATTGAAAATCAATTATTCTTGCATTGTTTATGTCTAATCCTACAATAAAACTGCCACCATTTTTTTATTGTTATTGTCAGTAGGGATGTAGATTCTTTCCGAAAAAGATCGATTTTTTTAAATAGATTCGAATTGTAAGCTGATGTATCGATTCCCAAAAAATCGATTTCTAAAATATATATATTTTTTTTCATGTTTGCATTTATAATGTAAATATAAATCCATTTTATGAGAAAATCATCATAAAATATAGGGGGACTGATTCAGAAGGATTTCTGTATCTATTTTGAGACTGTTACGTCTCCGGCACTGCGGGAAGAGCAGCCTCTACGCCTTAGCGTAACAAATCGCAGGCATCCCTCCTCGCCTCCGCAGCTTCGGCTTGTTGGTCGCCTTCGGCGACCAGCCTCAACCGCTCCGGCTCGTCCGATGCCTACGATTTGTTACAGCAGGCGGAGGCTGCTTCCCCTACGCGCCTCCGGCTCTATAAAACCACTCTAGGGGTAGGACAGACTCGTACCAGGTGGAGTCGGGGTCAATCAATTCGGTTCTTTGACATAAGTTGAACCTAACCTATTTTATTTGTTATCTGCCCTAATAGGTACTGTTAAATAAAACAAATTTCAATAAGAGATCATTTATCATGGTTTTCATAAAATGGGTTTATATTTACATTATAAATAGAAACATTAAAAAAATATAGATATTTTAGAATACGATTTTTGTGAACCGATACATCAGCTTACGATTTGAATCGATTTAAATATCGACCTTTTTCGGAAAGAATCGACATCCCTATTGACGTCGACAATGACATTACAAAATGGCGCCAGTTTATTAGCAGATTAGACATAAACATTGCAAGAATAATTGATTTTCAATTATTCTTTTCTCAAAAATTACGCGTTTCCGTATATTGAGACTTTGTGTGTGTGCTTATAATAGTGTAATCTTTCTGTAAAAATACGTATCAACACCAAACTCCACTGACGTCAATGGAAAGCTAAGCCGAAATTTCACCCTAATATTGCTTTATTTGTGGATTTAAAGATGATCGAAGCAAGCACTTTTATCAACAAGAAATAAGCCAAAGACTACAATGTTATATAGGAAAAATAAGCAATGGCGGGTGAGTGATATTGACATCTCAAAATGGCGAGACTTGAGTTTGCGGTGGTGAAGAAGGCTAAAGAGAGGCGCGGAACGTCAGATTCAATTCTTGCACTGCCATTCTATACGAACCATTTTTTTTGTTAGGACATTACCTGGCGTGAAGAAATGTACGGGTCAGATATTAAAGAGTTAAGTCTGTAGTGTTTCCTACCCACATTTTTAGTTCCAACATTTTATGGTTGATACAACTACTCAAAAGATCTCTAACGTGAATTTAGCATTGTTTAGATCGACCATATATTTTATTTGGGTCGAATAATAAGACTGATATTAATTTTACATTAATGTATTTTATAATTACAATAACATCATTTAAAGCGTGATTGTTGCATGAAAACATAAATATATTTAAAGTGCTAAATATTAAGTAATATCGGTGTTTTATTATTTATTAAAATGTAAGTCTACTTGGCGAGTAATTTTTAATCGAGTTTGTAAAAACGAGAAGGTTACATAGAGCAATGTGTTGGCAATGTTTTAGCAATAGAATAGAAGACAATGGAGTTTTGGCGGGAAATTGACCGGCGGCGGTTTGCTGCTCCTGTATTATTGTTTAAATAATGGTTTGAAGTGGACTTTGATATGTAAAAGTGTTGCGATTTTGTGTATTAAGTGTCTACGCATGTGAACTATTAGTGGAAACAGTGAAACAAGTGCTCTGATGGTGATGGATTCTCAAGATAAGCTGTTTGTTTGCATAGGCACCTTTAGATACCATCGCCAACTATCAGCTGTCTGCTGGATCAAGTTGCCGCCAAAATCTCCCAAGAACTGCACAATGTGACGCATCAACATATTGTGAAGCAGTATACTATGAAGGAGTGGGGAAATTACAATAAACCGAATAAAAATACTTAAGACTTGGCCTAAAGGTCTAGATACCAGGCCATAAACTCCAAAAAAAAAAAATAGAAGACAATCAGTTTTTTTTAAAATATAGATTACAAAGAATACTTATTGAAAGTCAGAAACCTTTTTCTAAATAAAATACAGACTTTTGTCAGACTTTTTTTAAATAAAATAAACATATTATTTTATACAATTAGTATGAAGTCTTTGTGTGAAACGGCATGGTAGCGATCACCTCATTCCTAGGGGTTATTATCAATCATTTACTCTTTAGTAGTATAACAACCCTTTTTAAACAAGTTTTACTAAGCCCCAGAAAGCCCCAGAAAATATACAAGGCTTATGTATATGTTCTGTGACTTTGTTGTAAAAGTACATTGCCCCATGAAGAAATTACTGCCTCTTTGGAGCCGTTATAACTAATTTGTGCTTGTTCCTAGTATTTACAGAATGTACTCACCTATTTTTAATATAACTATTTTTGTTTTGGCGTACATACATTAAATTTTCCTAAATATATTGAGAGGTCTAAGTTAATACATTTTTTTAAAATTTTACCTACATAGCACCTAGCTCTTAGTTTTTGACCGAGCTCTTATGGCTCTCTTCTGCAAACAAAGATAGTTTCAATGTCAGTTCCATTACCCCACAGCAAGATTCCTTATTACATTATGCTATAGAAATAACTAAAACTTTTTACAGCACATGCTGCAGAACTAGCTTTGCTAGCTAGTTTAGATATATGAGAGCCCCATTGAAGATTCGCGTCAACTGCAATTCCGAGAAAAACAGTGGATTCACAAGACTCAGCTCTTCTCCACTTGAAAGAAGTTTCGAGTTTTATACAAGAAGAAGAGGAGTTTAGAGTTGCATACAAATCGCAAGGGCGATTATGAAACTTTTTGTTGACGAAATCTAAAATAATATAAAAACCAATTTTCGTTCGTTAGTCACGCAAAAACTCGAAAATGACTCGACTGATTTTGATGAAATTTTTTGTGGATGTTTAATTCGATCTCTGGATGGTTTAGATGCGCAACTGAAGCCGGTAAGTGGCGCTGTTGTCCAGATCCAGAAATCACCCTTGCCAAGTCGTAGCGGAACGCCATTATTTAAAAAAAAATTAAAATAAACAGTCTAAAAACGCCTAGCCCTTGAGACATCACGGTTCTTTCTAAGATGCAGCTAAAAACAAGTTAAACACGCAATTGATTTAACGTCGAGTTGGAGGTTCATTTAGAGTTATTCCATCTTACTTCTAGGATCTGCACTTTGATTCTTAATTGAGGAATGATGTAGATGTCAATGGGTACAGCATCCACTTACCGTTAGGTCGACTGTGTGCTCGTTTGTCACCATTATTCAATAAAAAAATAATACTTAAAAACTTATAGAAGGTAATTTTCTTAATAATTATAACCCAGACTACAATCCCACTTGATGTTAGGTAGCG